AGATAGTATGATATCTATGTCATACCAATATCTTGTTAGTTTGACTGCAATCTCAAAAATTATTTCAGAAACTTGTCAAGTCGATTATATCTATTGTATAATTGCATTTTAATGTATCTTATATCAAAGCATTAAAATAACCCTAATGCTCTAATTCATAGCCTATTATTATATTTATTAATAAAGAATAATTTTTTAAATTATAAGATTACTTTATAATAGTCATGCAAGTTTAAAAAGTTATTAATTGGTGGTTTATCATTTACGTTTTCGATGTCGATTGAGGTTATATGATTTCAATCGTATACATATTAGACCTATTAAGATCGACTTATTAAAAATAAATTATTCATAAATTAATCATTGTTTCCGTATTTTATTCGATGTCATTTTTCGTGATATTTTTCTGTAGTATCACAATCAGTTATCTTTTGTTATTATATTACATTTATAACACGTATGTATACATGGCTTGCACACGATGGACATATATATATGGCTCTTTCGGTTTTGCTGCTTGTTCGCTTTTGCTGTTCGTTTGGTTGAACTTCAAAAAGATGCTGCAAAATGTATTTTGCACCGGATGTGCGTCATCTAACTAAAATTTTTAACCAATAGTAACAAATTACTGCGATTTCACACTGCGCATGAAATGGCACCTTCACACAGAGCGATACGCTCGGCATTCTGAACGCACCCTTGGTTTAATGCTTTAAAATAATTTTCATTCAAGGGGAAAAGCAAAGAAACCCTTATCTATAACAATATCCAACTTTATAATAAAACAAATAGCTTAATTTTCGCGATCATTACATACGCGATCGCAAGACAACTCTAATATTTTGTTCAGGGTAGATGAACCCTTCTCTTAATATAATAACAATATAATAATCTATTATATAATCGCAATTAACTATTCATGTTTAAGCGTTTCTTTGTATTCACCTATATAGCGCTATGAATTTACCTCATTATTTTAAGATATATATATATAATCAACTTTCATATAACTAAATTCACCCTCATAGTATAATTTCTTAATAAGTATATTTGCGTAATAGTGTCTTCTCTATGCGCATCCCTTCCATGTGACTCTCGAGTGACTCTCAGGAATTCGACCTTAATGTTGTCCTGTGTATAAATTATGTAAGATTGTAACTTTCCTGTAACCTTAATGCAATATCCGGTGCTGTGAGGGGCTTGACCCCATATCTCACCATCAATCAGACCAAATATTTTTTCTAAAGTTTCAACCTTACTAACATGATTCTCATCCCATCCTCCTCCTTTGCCAACACCATGTCATCCGCATATAACAGCGAATAAATTTTCTCTCCTTCTAGCTTGACCCCATAGCTCACCGTCGATCAAACCAAATATTTTTTCTAAAGTTTCAACCTTACTAACATGATTCTCATCCTATCCTCCTCTTCCACCAACACCATGTCATCCGCATATAACAGCGAATAAATTTTCTCTCCTTCTAGCTTGACCCCATACCTCACCATCGATCAGACCAAATATTTTTTCTAAAATTTCAACCTAACTTGATTCTCATCCCATCCTCCTCCTCTGCCAACACCATGTCATCCGTATATAACATAAATAAATAAATTTTCTCTCCTTCTAGTTTGACTCCATACCTCATCATCAATCAGACCAAATATTTTTTCTAAAGTTTCAAACTTACTAACATGATTCTCATCCCATCCCCCTCCTCCGCCAACACCATGTCATCCGCATATAACAGCGAATAAATTTTCTCTCCTAGCTTGACCCCATACCTCACCATCAATCAGACCAAATATTTTTTCTAAAGTTTCAAACTTACTAACATGATTCTCATCCCTTGAGACTTAAAGACGTCTTTAAGATGACGTCTAAAAAATGACGTCCTATACACATAAATGTATGTGTGTAAGAATTCCTAATCAGAATTTTCATCCAACAGTTCCGCCGAATATTTTAGACGATTCATTTCGCAAGATAAGTTTTATACTAAACGTTTTTATTAGATATTGTATATTTATTGTTTATTTTATTATAAAGATTTGATCATTTGTGTTATATTTCATGGCTCCTAGTTAGTGCAGAATGGATAAAACCAATTAGGAACTATTAATAATTATAAACTAAATAAAAACGTACTAATATCGGTGTTTGTTATAAAAATCCTGTGAAGCCTGTATGGACCCTTATCGGTCCACACAAAATGTGCACATGCAAGAACGTGCAGAAGCAAAAAATACTGACGACTAATTCGTCAAGTAAGACTTTAAATTCAAAATGATACTTTTGTCCCCGGTCTTCCCTATTCTTACATTTTAGTAGCAATGCATTGCTAATGTTCTAGTTTTATGGCGCCAGAAACTCGCCCTTCATCCTTTCCCGTTAGCGTTATCCAGGGGCCACCGACGAGGAGGTGGGAATAGGATTTGGTAGCAGAGCTCTTTGTGCGACACTTTGTGTAAGCACTGAGAGGGCTTTACTCTAGGTTTTGTTGCCACACACCCTTCGGCAGCGTGTGTGACCCCAGAGACCCATGCT